TAAGGAGGAGGAGGGTCAATTAGCTAAAAAAGTCTCTCTGAAGGAAGCCAAGTGTGTCTGGTGATGCTGCCCACGGCTTCCCCTCGGTGCCGTGCAAAGGGCGGCTGTGACATGGGCAGCCCAAGAGCCGAGCTGCGTTGGGTGGACAACAAGCTCACAGATTGTCCATGGAAAAGGGTTCCTGACACGCTCACTGGGGAGGGCAGCAGCCCCACAGCACGTCCCCCTGCCCAGGCATTCCTGCTGGTAGCCAGGGAGATGGGCTGAGATGCCCTTACAGGCTGCTGCCAAGGGAGGGGAGAGGAATGTGGGCAGGCGAGGTGGGCTGGGCACAGCTGGGGCAGGGGCAGTGTCCCTAGGCTGGCAGGCAGAGAGCCTCCCCTTGGCAGGGCTCCATGCTGGGGCCTCATCCCGGACAGCTGACAGCCTTCCCAAGCTGCTGGGGACTCTCCCTGTGGAGGGAGAGAGGAGAGAGTTCCCCATGGAGCACAGCATTCCTTCCTCTCTACCCTCCTGAGGAAAGGGGAGTGGGCTGAGGGAGGAGAAGCAATGGGGCTCTCTGGTCCCATGCTGGACGTGGCTGGATGTTGGAGATGGGTGCAGAGCAAGGGCTGCTTGGCCTCTGTGAAATATTTCCATTTATTTTACTGGCCTCTTCAAAGATAAGACTGAAACACACAGTCCTGCAGTTGGGAAGGGAAAATAAAAGAGGATCAGGCGCGACCCCCACGCGCACGTGGTAATTTCTCGTCTTGGCTTATCTTGTAAGAATTATAAGATACTGAGTAGGAAATAAATCATGATGTCAGGACCAAATGCCATTTTCTTGCTTGGTGTGATTTGCAGCATGGCGGTCAAGCCGATAGATTTCACTGCCTGGCGTAGGGTTCTCCCCTTTAATTGAATTATACCCCGGCGAGCGAGTGGGATTCATTCTCTGCGATACAAGGAAATTACCATTTGATGAAACAATGCTTTACTCCTCGCTCACCTGCACAAACATCCTTCAGGAAAACTATTATGCAGATATCCTTGATTGCAGACTATTGTTGCTTTTGATCTCCATTTGCCGTGGCAGCACCCGGGGATTGCACCATGGAGCATCCGAACGGCCCTGGCAGGGTTTGCCGCCTGTTCCCCCAAACCTCAGAAGGCTTTTCTAGTTCCACTCAATTAAAATTCTCTCTGCTGCAGGTGGACAGGCAGGTACATCAGTGCATCACTGGGTGTGTCACAGTGTCCTCAGTCTCTCCTCAGGGCCGGGGCATTGCAGAATAATTAATGCTAATGACCCACAGGAACCCCGTTTCCTGCTGAGTTATTAACTCAGAAGTGACAGAAAGATTTCTGTGCCCCCATCTGTGTTGCTGCCACAGCTGAGGTGGTGAGGGCTGCAGTTCTAGACCTGGAGTATTGGCTCCTGTCCCTGCAGCCACAGGCCTTCGAGGTGCATTCCTTGGATTTGGAGTGTTCAGTGGGCTTTGGAATTGAAACTTTCACTTAATTCCTTGAGTTCAAACCCCAGCAAGCAAGGGAGAGAAGCCAATGCACGTAATCATGAATTTCCAGCTGAAGCTGTGCTTTGGGAGGGGAAAGGCTGATCCCTGAGCTCCCTGGGGCCCGCTACACCGAGATGCTTCTGCAGCAGCCTCGTGTTGTCAGCTGGCTTGCGCAGGAAATACGTAATGCTCTCAAAAAGACAGATTAATTACCTTGAATAAACTGGCCTTGACAAGCTCTGAAGGTTTTCAAGCCATTTTCTCTCAGTTCTGAGCATGTGCCCAGCACTGCAGGTCCCCCCTTCTGGATGGGCTTGCTCGAGTGGGCTTCTAGTGGCGTTTGAAATGTGAGCTGGTGACAAAATTACAAGGTGGAAGGATGGCAACTAATCAGAGCACAGTGATGCCGTTGCTAATTAATTTACCAGCAGCAGCCACTGATCTGTGCCATTATTAGCAAACTTATTAGTGCTGTTTGCAAGAGTTGCAATAAACACACGGAGGTTCTCTGGGAAAACTCCACCACTGCCTCACCACCCTCACAGGGAAGAATTTCTTCCTAATAATGGAGCTTTTGAACCCATAAGCTCCTTCCGGGAAGAAGATTTTGAATCCAAACCAAAGTGCACCAACCTTCCAGCTGCTGGGAGGTTCAGGGAAAAGCAAAATATTCTTCCATTTGAGATCTGTGGAGGGCAAACTTTCATTTGTACCCCTTGCCTTGATCAAGGCTTAAGGGCTGCTCTCTCATCCAGGGCCCTGTGGAGCTGACAGGGGGAGCAGTGCCTTGTAGGGCTGGTGTTTTCCTGCTGTGCAGTGGGCAGCTTGCTTTCAAATTTGTGTCTAAGGGATGAAAAGAGAATAAATTAAATTTTGGCCGGTTGCACGTATCCTGCAATTAATCTTTTGTGCTAATCTGAGACGAGCGAGGTCTCAGCTGAAGGTGGGGTGGTTTTAAATCCCTGTTCATGTTCTGCCTGGCTCTGAGGCTTTGGGGTGCTCAGATCCTGGGTGTGGGTGGGCAGAGGCAGCGTTCCTAGAGCAGGCTCTGCTCAGTCTCCGGAGGAATGCGAATTGCTCCGCTGCCAGTGTTTTTCCTGACCATCCAGTAACTTTGTAATTAATGTGTTAGCTTGTAATTAATGTGTTAGCTTGTTGCCAATTAACAAGCAAAACCGTCTTGGCTGCCAAAGGCTTTTCCACTCCCAGTCTATTCCCTTTCCTCTGCCGCCTTTCATCTCTGCAGTGGGGGGAATACCTCCGATCCAGCCATCTGCCCCTTCTCTCCAGGAATTGTGGTTGTGGCTCCTGGCCTCCTCCCACCTCAGAGGCAGCCAGCCCTCTCTGGGCTTGCCATGCTGCTCCAGGAGTTTTCTTCCTCCTTGCATCTCTGATCCTGCTTTTCTTCCCTCTTGGCTGCTTGCCCAGCTCCTTGGGGCCATCTCCCTGTGTTTCCAGACACCCAAATCCTGCTGCTCCATCCCAGACTCCGCTCTCCTGCTCCGTTGCAGCACCAGCGCTGCCTCCCCACACATCTCATGCAGCCACCTCTTTATTCTCTCCATATGTGGTGTGTGTGTGTGTGTGTTTGTCTCTGGCAGGATATTTCTATAAATTCTTGCTCGCTGCCTCCATAAAATACCCGTTGGGAGCGGGGCTGGCTGGGGTGACCCAGATGCACAAGAGGAAATGTTTCATATCTCGAGGAGCACCGTCTGTGCCCCTTGGCAGCCCCTCCCGCCCGCCTATCAGATGTAGGGCTTAATGGGCTTAAGAATTAGAGCAGCTGCTTGGTGCAGAATTTATTGACTGGCTGTGCATAACGAGGGGAATTAAAATCCTAATTGGCTGAGCTGCTCCCCGTCACCTGGAGAATTTTTGACTTTTCTCAGGGCTCCTGGGCTCTTCCCTCCCTGCTTGCCTCGCTCAGGTCCATACCCTGCCCCAGGGAATCGCAGAACCCTTTAAGATCCCTTTAGGATCGTCCAGTCCACGTCCTTGGGATGGTGCCACCCTGTTCCCCAGTGCTCCCCAGGAGGAGGCAATGGTGACAGTGGTGTTCTGGAGCTGGCCACCTGCTGCAGCTTTTGGGGGAGGTGTTCTCAGTGGATTTCTTGGTGTCACCCAGCGCCATGCCAGCGAGGCTCTGCTGCACAAAAAGGATGTTGAAGTGTTAAATGTTAAAGCGTGCCTCGTGTAGCTGTGGCCACCAGGCCTTCCTGCTGCCTCTGCTCTGGGCTCTGCTGCAGCTCCCAGAGACCAGGAGAGGCTTTTCCTCCTGCGTCCCTTGCTCTCAGAGAGCCTGAATGGGCACGGAAATGGCCTCACTTAAGGCTATGTCTCATTACTACATTAAGTCAACAACCACTTGAGTATCCAAGGATTTTGATCAAAGCTAGATATTGAAAGGGGGACAAAGAGTGGCAAACTTATTTGACTTCCACTTATTTCCAGAGCCTGTTGAGCACTCGGCTGTACTCCTTGCTGGCCTGAAGTGTGCCTGGGAGAGCAGCAGCCTGCTCCCTGCTCCTCCTGGTCAGAGCAGAGGCTCTGGGCTGAGGGGAGGGAGGGCAGCCTGCTCCCTGCCTGTGCCTCGCCTCTGGCACCCACAAAGGAGAGGGGAGGTGTCCCCCTGTCCTGTCTCTGGGGACAAGGGACCCTCCCTGTGGTGTGGCTGTCCTGCAGGACTCACTGGAAGCTCACAGGGATGCGCTGGTGGGACAGGCACCAAGAGCTGCTGGGATCTTGAGTGGGGACAGTCCAGGAAAAGGCAAATCCAGATTTCTGCCCCCTGCTTGGGGCTCAGTCAGGTCTCTTTAATTCCATTTTCTCAGAGTGGGGAAAGGCAGCTGGCTTCTCCTGCCTACCTGCAGCATCCTCTGGGGATGTGAAGAGTGAGGAGGCAGAATGTGAAGGGTGAGGAGGCAGGAGGAGTTCCCAGTGTTTACCTCAAACGAGGCCCAGTTTGGGGACCTGCAGTAGGTGGGTTTGCCACCAAAAGAACTCTGAAACTTTGAGCATCCATCGTGCTGTGCCCACCTCTAACACAGACCCTCTTCTGTCCCTGCCAGCTTTGCCAAGGCTGTGCTCCTGCAAGATGTTGGTGTCTCACCAAGCTGCCAGCACAGCAGCACAGAGTCCTTGGGATTTTTTGCATGGAAGTCCATCAGGATTTCGGATTCTGCTGGAGGCAGTGGGGTTTTACTGCAGAGTGTGTCATAGTCAGCCCTGGCTCCTTAGTGCTCTGTACCTAACGATGCTGTAGTAAAAGTAAAAGTAATCTACAGTAAATGTATCCCAGGTCCTTATTTAATGATAAAACCCCCTCAGAGCAGTGAAAATAAACTGTTAGTGAGTCTCAGTAGTGTCTACAAAGAGGGTACTATCTCTTGGATTAATATGAAGTCCCCTCCAACAATTCTCAGCGTTATTTGCAGAGGGCTGGAAAACAGCAAGGGGAGCAGCAGCTTTCATGTGTTTGGTTTTTTCTTTCCCTTGCAGGCACGTCTAGGCATCATCACTCTGGGCTGAATCAGACCTGTCTGAGCATTCACCCTCCTGTCACAGAAGAAGCAAAGGATGCAGCAAGGCTCAGAGGTACTCCTGCTTTGCATTGAGCCCCACTTTTGTTACCATCCTGAAAACCCTTTGGAAATATGAAAGCAGAAACCTGTTCTGGTTGTGGCTGAAAGGCCATTGAAACCCAGAGAGCCCCCGAGTTTAACGGGGGAAGTCATGGTGAAGGCAGAGTGCAGCATGGGAATTTGCATTCAAGAGGGAGGAAAATGAGGGATTTGGGCAGAGAATAACTGATAGGTGCTGTGAATTCATTAAAAATGGGCTATAAAAGATACACTACAAGGTTCTGGTGGCAGACCAACAAAGCTTTTTTCTTCCCCTTCATTGTTTCTACTGTCACAGGATTCTCACAATAGCGGATAGTTTAGCCTTGTACTCCACGGTTCGTTATCTATTCTTCTATTTATTAATGCATTCTTGGGTCTTAGTGATGTGATAAACCATCCACGCTTTTCTTTTATGCTTTAATAGGATTCTTCTGGAACCCCCTCCATGTTTACATAACCTTGCAATTCACAGTTATCTATCATTTATTTCCTACTTTGTGCACTCTTGATAAAGCCGCGGCGGCGAGGGGCGTCAGTGCCCCGGCTGTGGGGTGTCACCCCTTTGGGCTCCTCAGAACAAAGCCTTCCTTCAAAAACGGGGTCCTTTCCAGAGGGCTGTCCCTCTGCAGGGGCAGGAGGGAATCCTCCAAATCCAGGAGGATTTGGTGCCCTCCATCCCTCTACAGGAAGGTGGTCCAGGTTCGTGAGGCAAAGGGACGAGGGTTCTGAGAGCCCCCAGCCCCATGGAGGGGCTGAGCTTGACTTCAGTGGGAAATAAACAATTCAGTGTTTTCTGTGGGCAATGCCAGAGCTGCTTTGGAGTGGCTGGGACAATTTGCTGCCCAATGGAGCTGGGGCAGAAACTTTTTGTGTCAAACAGGCTTTGGAGGATGGAGCGTCAGCGTCAGCATGGGGCTGTTCTCCATCAGAGGCAGCAAATCTAAATATGACAGCAAACCTTTATTAAGCATACCAGGAAAGGGAAAGGGCTCCTTGGAACAAAGCCTCCCTTCAAAAACAGGGTCTGTTCCAGAAGGCTGTCCCTCTGCAAGGGCAGGAGAGCATCCTCCAAATCCAGGAGGTTTGGTGCCCTCCATCCCTGTACAGGAAAGTGGTCCGGGTTCGGGAGGGTCTCCAGGCAAAGGGATGGGGTCCTGCGAGCCCCCAGTCCTGTGGAGGGGCTGAGCTCAACTTCAGAAATAAACAATTCAGTGTTTTCTCTGGGAAGTGCCAGAGCTCCTTTGGAGTGGCTTGGCTGCTGGGACAATTTGCTGCCCAATGGAGCTGGGGCAGAAATTTTTGTGTCAAACATTCTTTGGAGGATGGAGCGCCAGCGTCACTGCGGGGCCGCTCTCCATCAGAGGCAGCAAATCTAAATATGCCATCTAAATATGACAGCAAACCTTTATTAAGCATACCAGGAAAGGGATGCGAGACCTCATTTATGATTTCATTCATAATCCCTTCAAAATGAGTTGGTACCAGTATGTGATAAGTGGATTATGTGTTAGGCCCAAGTAAAGCCAGACACAATTAGTGCTTTAATAAACCAGTTGTATGCATTACTAACAACTAAGTCATAAGGGAATTGGCGTATTTACAAACCCTAATTAGTAGTTTGTTACTGTGATACCAAATTTAAACAAATCTGTAGCATTGCTGACCATCTGGGTTAGAAATCTCTGTTTTGAATTTAATTAGGAAATAGTTGTGACAGAAAATTGGTCCTTATTAGTTAGCTAACGATCAGCATTGCCCTAATTGAAATGAAGAACTGGCTGGTGGATTTGTGAGATGTTTAGATACAAGCAGAGACAATCAAAAAATATTCTCTCACTTAGGACTTTGTGAGCTGCCGTGATTGATTAAGTAACATCCCCTTGATATTTTAGCAGCTAAAATGCAAATGACCCAGTGATGAGCGTGCATGACAAAACACCTGGCAATTAGAGCTGTGCATTTCTGGGTTTGCTTTTAAAAGCAGTTCTGTGGGAGCTGGCCTGGTGTGGGTGCTCTGGGGGCAGAGCTGTGCCTGCACCTTCACCTTCCTCCCCTCAGGCATCCTCAGGAAGGTCATTGCTCTTCCTGGAGAGGGAGCCTGGTGCTTTCCCAGCCCTGATGCTTTCCCAGAGAGCAGCTCTGACCCGCTGAGGCACAGCCAGCCCTGTTCTGGCACCCAGCACTTTGGTGGGAGCTGGCTGTGTCCAAAACCTGCAGCTCTGCCCTGTCCCTTCTGAGCAGACTGTGGGTGTCCAGTGCCTGCTCCATGCGGGGAATGACCTCCAGATTGGTTCTGGAAGCACATTTGGGGCAGCAGTGAACGTCCCCACCTTGCCATTGAACCACAGACAGGCCCTTCAGGACACAGGCTGCCGTTCTTAATTCATTTGTGCTTCCTCCCTTTATGGTGCTCCACAGGATGTTAGGATTCCTGGAAATGTTTCCAGATGAAGGAAAGCACACGTTGGCAATGTCACCCACCCCAGTGCCGCTGTCAGAGCAGCACTGGGCACCGAGGAACTCTTTCTGTCTTGGAGCAGACAATGAAGTTTCTGTAGGGGCTTTAAATCACTAAATGTTGAAAGGAATTCCCCGACGGCTTCATCAGTCACTGTGTAAGATTGTTAGAGATCTCCACCAGCTAATAAATTTGATTTGGGGTTTGTTTTGCTGGCATTTGCACAAACCCTCTGAGAACTATAGTTACTGTATTCCCATACAGTGTCTGAATTCCGAATTGAGATGCCCGTTCCCCTCTCCTCGGGGAGGCGAGATAAACCTTTGCCACAGAATATGAATGTCGCTTGTTTTTCCCGGTGAGCTGGTGCATCATTATTATTTGAGGAGATATAGTGTTTGACAAAACCATTTGTTTTGTTCCAAATATTTTATTGAGTAATAAAACTCGTTTGTGTTGTGCTGCCGCATGGGGGGATTTGTGCCTGCTAGGCTGGGAGGGAGGCGAGTGAAGGAATGGGGGCCCTGCCGTGTGTCCCTGCTGTCCTGTCCTGCTGCACCAGGCTGTGCCTGGGGGGCTGTGCAGCCTGGGGGTGCAGGGGGATGAGCTGAGCCCCCCGGCCCTCCCTGCCCCACCCTCCAGGGTGCTGCAGGCTCAGGCGGCCGCTCTGAGAAATAAAGGCTGTGTTGTTTGCTGGGACGAGTATTTTTTTTTTTTCCCCTACCCAGCACTCACAAGTTTATTATGAATGATCCCTTTTCACAGATGTTCCCGTTCTGAATGGGGGAGCAGCAGTATTTGAGTCCAGAAAGATCCCCTGTGAGCAGAGCCAAGTGCAGCTGAAGCAGGGTGTGAGCTGGGCTGTGCCTGCAGCCCCTGGCCAAGGGCTCAGGCTGGGGGCTTGGGCTCATCAGCAGTGCCAGGCTGGGCTCTCTGGGTGCAAACCCACTCTTCTCCCTGCCCTGCCTCTGAGCTGGGGCTCAGCAAGGTGTGCTGCAAACCCCGCTGTGTTTTGCTCTTTCCTTGGTTCCCTTCTCCCACCCTGGCATCTCTCATCTGTGAGACGGGACCAAGGGGAATTCTCTTCCAGCCCAAGGCTGCCCAGGCCTGGGGACACCATGCCCTCAGAGATGTCTGCAGCAGCCTGGCTAGGAAGGGGTTTGCTCAAGGGGAAGCCAGCAAGCCTGGGCTTGGATTTTTGCAGTGTTCTGCTGCTTCACTGTCTCTGTTTTACATGCAGATGTTTGCCTGAAGGGCTCGCAGCAGGCAGAAAGGTTTGAGTTCTCCTGTTTTAACACAGTCAGGAGCATCCTTTCCGTGGGTGGCAGGGCACAGGAGGCCCTGTGAGTGTCCATGCAGATGTGCTGCTGCTGTAGCTGCCCCTCAGTGCTGGTGCTGGCAGCTCCAGGGGCCACCGGGGCCACCTCGTCCTTCACCCGCCAGCGGCTCTCGAGTGACACTGATGGTGAGCAGCAGGAGCCACCCCCCGTGAGCAGCGTGACAGCTGCCACCGAGCTTTCCAGGGGGGATAGGAGCGTTTAATGCCCTGGAAAATGCAGGGCCCCGTGGAGCATGCAGAGCATTGGCAATTGGGGCACTCTGGCAGGTACATGTCACCCGGAGAGTGGGGAGCCTTTGCTGCCACCTCCCCCAGGCCTGAGGCTCAGCAAAATGTCCTTGTCCCCTGGTGTCCTTCGTGCCATTTGCTTTGGGGAGCTGAGCCCACACGCCCTGGGTAGGGCAGGTTGTTGTTGTGCAGTGCTGAGGCCCAGCCACAGGTGTTGCCCAAAGAGTTTCAGGGTTTGTGGTGGATGTTCAGCATCGCTTTCAGCTCACCCCTGAGGCACTGGCTGCTCCAGCCTGGTTCCAGCTGGCCAGGCAGGAACAGGCTGTGCAGAGACCCCCACCTGGGCACCACTCATCCTTGTGGGGAGGTTTAAAAGCATTTCCTTTGGTGACTGCCTCGACCCACATGTTTCACATCCGTATCCACCTGCCTGATGATGGCCTCAGGCACATTCTGTCACCGTGGGCATCTTGGCCACTGCCAAGGTCATCACCAGCAGCGTGTGGGGACTCGTGGCTCGCCTGGGAGATGGATGGGAGGCATTGCTTCCCTTCAGCCGGTCATTAGTCCTCGCTCTGGAAAGGCTTAGCAATTCCAACCCAGTAAATTATGTGCCATTCCTCAAAAAAGTGGATAAATAAATGGGGCTAGAGCATGTCTTTTTTTTCGTCCTGAGCTTCGGCGTATTGATTTGGACATATTTCCAGGCAGGGAGTGATCAATTCTGGGGCAGAATAAAATAATTTCGGGCAAACTCTCGGAGCGGCTCGTCATTAATTTGCCTTTGGGGCCGGGCGGGATGCGCTCGGCATCCTCGGCAGCGGTGCCCTGGGGATCTCCCGGCGCTGCCGGCAGCGAGGGCGGGGGCCGCCGGGACTAATGAATGCGCCGTGTTTGCTCATCTTTACAGAGTCCCTTATTACTGCTAATTGGGAGGGAC